TCCAGTCACTGTCCAAGGATCAGAGTCAAATGCTCCAAGATCGGTGCAGTGTGAGCAGTCATGGACACCTCTGGCAGCGTGAGTACAGTTTTACCACTAGCCTCATTGCCAAATACAGGGGTTAGGCCTTCGTACCTCCATTTTCTCTGAAGGTGCTGGGGCAGGCTGACCGTTGACATTTAGCATTCCTCCAAGCTGCCTCTGAGATTTCAATAGGGATTGAGGGTTGTAGAGGGCAGAGCTGCGGCTGTGGGGAGTTCTCAAGGAGAGGGAACAAAAAGGCTCTTGAAAATCCCAAGGAGTTCCCATGATCCTTGGTGAAACCTTGATCCTACTGTTTCCATTACATGGATTAGGGTGCACAAAAGTCCATATTTCAGTGATTTATTTTGCATCTTGCCAAGGCGTTAGACAATGAATTTGTGAGATTTCCCCAGTTTGGGAGTGAAATGTTTAAAATGGATTTGATAGTTATGATCTCTTTGTTTTGCTCATTATTCAGGCCTGGGAATGTCTGGTCCATAATCATTGTGTATTCTGGGTCTGCACTGACATTTCTTTCAGCCTTTAGAGCAGCCTGTAGTGACATTTTGTCATGGAAAGTTTTCAAAGTCATATTTCAAGGTTCTCCCTGTAACATACATAATCTGTTAGCATCAAAGGAGCACACATGCATAAATAATTGACTAATTCACTTAAAGGGGCCAGCATAGATTAATTAAGCCTGAATACTAATTATGTTTTTCTGTCTACACCAACTGAAGCTGTTGTTTTAATGTGAAACTGTTTGGTGGACAACAATTACCACAAACCTATAAGACTATTTATATCCTCTAAATGAAAATAGGTTTAGTTCCGATTTAATTTAAAATAATATGTTTTGATGCTGTTGTAGGACAGAAATGTCAGCCTTTTCCTATAGTGTTTTAAGTCAGGGGGTATTGTACTATACACACTTTGATTTAAATACAAAATACCTCTATATACATTGTATTTCCATCATTCACGTTTTGCTGATATGACTCTTATCTCAAACTGATTTAAAATAGCTTTTCATGCGGTAATTTTTTTTGAATTGGCCACTGCAAATGTATTTGAAAGTAGATAAAGCGGGCCTACATAAAAGATGACAACAAAAGCAATTTCTGCCAGCATTGATTAAACAATATGTTGTTTAGTTCAGTCCCAGCCTGCACAAACCTTTCACTACACGACTATATACCTGTCACACACTTGCATATAGATTGAAAAAAGATTCAATTCCATTGTCAATTTAGATATGCATCCATTTACTCTCTGTGTGGCAGTTGTTTTCCTTTCATGGGCCAAATTGGGAGAATAGCCAGTAAACTAATGCACAATGCTGCTATCCTAATGATTTAAAAAACAGTTGTTCAGATTTGGAGCGCTCTAATATAATATAAGGATAGAGACACAACACGTCAGCATCAGTACGGGCCTAATGTATTCGCCCCTTTAAACCCCAGTAAAACTCTGTCATTCCAAAGAAGCTCCTCTCTTTGACTCTGTGCCTGCTGCACAGACTGCTGTCTGGAAGTGGTAGGCTTTAAGTTGCTTGTTTCTGACACAGCGGACTTGGGCTGTCTGCGCTCCCATCGTAAGCAGATTGGGATGAGGGAGACAGCTCAGAGCGGGGCTTGTTTACAGCCGGATAGAAGAAAACAGCCAGACGTAAATTAGGGTTGACGGTTTCATGAAGCACAATTGGTTGATGGCAGATTCAATGTGACTGGCCTGAACTGGGCGATGATCCGTACAGTATGCAAAATTTACTTTCTAGCTGGTCTGTGCCCACCAGCCTAGCAGCAGTCTTCTCCCCGAGCCCTCACAGCTCCGGCTTTGAATGGAACCCGAACTGAACAAGGCATTGTTGTGCCCAATTCCTTTTGACAACAATCACATTCTTTTAAAAAACTTCATAGATTTTTCTTGTCACCAGTTATTAATGATTTTTTTCTCGTCTTGACCACAAAGTAAGCATTTCTTATGTGCCGATTCAATTAGGGAAGGAAGGGGCATGGTTTTGAGCAGTAGATGCCTTCAGATGACAACACAATGAAATCAGGGCATTTTTTGCTTTGTATTCAGGGCTTGTTATAATACTCTAGATCTTCTTGGCACATGACTCCAATACAGCACCATGAATTTAATATATTTATGTTCATTGGAAAGACATGTCAGTTTATCCTGCTCGTGATATTGTTAGAATTGGAACAGTTGTTCAGATTCCTAAAATCCAAGCTGGCACAATCGTCACATTATGCCATGTCTATTACCTTGTTTTTATCACTTGCATGTTTTAGAAATGAAACATCTGCATGCTGCATTCTGTTAGAGCACATTGGGTGATTGTCGTTGTAAAACGGGACATGCTGTCACTGTCAGTGGAAACCAAGGAAGGAGAAGAGAAACATGCAATCTTTTAGCTCTCTAAATGGAGTGGATTAAGTGAAGTTTTCTGATTTTGATTTTTTGCAACAATGACCAAAAGCGTTCTGCTCGCAGCATGTGCACTCTCCATGTGTACGTTTTTCTGAAATGGTTTACTGAGGTTTGTCTTAAGCAGGAACCGAACTCAAGGCGATACATTCATGCAAATCTCAAAATGTGTTGACATTTTGGTAGAAAACAGAGCTAATTCATTTGAGGAATAGGACCAACTCCCATTTTAAATTTAGCCAGACCTGATGTGCAGATGTACATTTAAACGTTATGAGTTTGTCTTTTGATGTTGATTTAGGTGTTACTGACGATAGACTACAGTTTGCCTTTCTTAACAGCAGATTGATGCAGAAAATACAGAAATACTCAAAGTCCTACGACATAACAACGGACTCAGCTTGACTCATACAGATTGGGAAAACATGTCTTGAATAAGCCTGGGCAATAATGCAGCATTATCAAGAATCACAGTATACTGTACATGTAAATGCACTGAATAAGATGTCTCTTTAAAGGCAGTGTTAAAGGGATTGGGAATGCTACATTTCTATATTTTCTATAGGGAAGGAAGCAAATATGGATATTTCATAGTAATTAGAAGGATGTATAGTTCATTTTATTCTGGCCTAAGATAAAACATAATGCGTGATAATTAAATGGGATTTATGTTAGGTTTTTTGCCTCCCTCTTCAAAGTGCCTTAGTCTCAAGGGCAAAAACAATTATTTGAAAAATAAAGGCGTGCTATCCGCCCACATTGTGCTAATTTGATGATTAATTACACTAGCTAACTAAAGACCAGCCCCACAAATGTCTCAATGTATCCTACAATACCACATACAATACATGCCTACTGTCATTTACTGTTAATTCCTCACCATGCTGCATTATTGCATATTCTACTGTATTTTTCAAACGTAAACAGCAGTTTCATAGTGTGTTTATCTCGATTTGTCCTTCAATATGATGATGAATTCTCAGAAGTATGATTTGTAGGTTACCATGAAACTAAAACAACAACAACAACCCAAGCACCATTTTGCATGCTGCTGCATCTTTTTTTAATTACTAACTCAGCCTATTACGGAATCATATAATCTGGTGTTCATATACACAAGGCGATGTTCATTATGTGTCATTTTCCACATTTTCCTATTAGTAAACTCATTACTTGCTTGTTTCTCAAGTAGCGATACTATTATAACTTCGTCATTTACTTTTGGATATGAACCAAAAACTGTACAGTATGTGTTTAAAAAATATGTTTGACACTGGAAAAGGAAACTGAATCTCGTGCTACACACTGGTCTCTGGTCAGTGTTTAAGTCTTACTGTTCTCTACAACTGAGAGAAATTGATTGGAATGCAGTGGAAAGAGAAAATGGTTTTTAAATAAGTTACAATTAGATAACCATTAATCTCTATGGTATAAATGAATGTCTTGCTGTAGGGCTTGTTGGATGTAAAAACAGATTTACAAAACTCTTCTTTCCAGATTGGAATGTGTCCTCCACTATTTTAATTGCTCTGTCATTTAGAATGAAAAAACACCCCCGCCCTCCCATACCCCTGATTTTGTCTTTGAAATTAAATATTGTATACAAATACATGCTGTTCATGGGCATGGGCACCGTTCATCATCAGAATCTGCGTAAATGATTTTTGAAATTGAAGTTCCAACTAAATGCTTTGAGGCTATAGCTAGAGATCTTAAACATAAGGATATGCACGTACAGGAAAATAAACATCCATAACAAAAACAACTACTTATGTGATTTACCTGGGCTTTTCTTATTGTTCTTCTTGTCCACAGAAATTAGAGAAATGCGGGGCTCACCATTTTGTTCCACCATTTCTTGGTTTCAAAGGGGATTTCAACATTTCTAGTGTCCATTGTCATTAGTATACCACTCAATTGAATGACATCGCCTCCAAGAGTATATGGAGCATATAGAAATATCCATGAAACGTTATGTCAAAATCCTCATTATTACATTGAAGTGCTCATAGAGAAATACCCATTATAGGCCTACCGTGCATGTATTCCGGTAGGTGGCTTTCAGCGATCACGGTTTGTATTTCCCTCTTTCTTGTGTTACCTGAAAATGTTATATTGTGGCCATGTACGGTAGGCCATTGAATGGTCTTATCTTTGGAAGGGGCAAAGGGATGCTTCATCTAACTTCTTTGGAGCACACTAGATCTTAGCAAAACTATTTTAGGAAGATCACAATATGCTGTGATTAAGTGAAAATGTTCCATGATGCTTGGGGTTGTACATCAAAGTTAACAAATGGCTGTGGAGCCCAATTACTATGGGGCATTCATAGGATATTATGAAAGGTTCGCTGCAAGTTGGGTTGTGTTTGGGCTTTGATATGCAATTTGCTTTCTATCACATAAGGGATATTTTTTTTGCACTTCCCATGAATCGAGTATTGAATATTTTTCAAAGCATCACAAAAAAATATCAGAAGCCTTTAACTCTCTGATTTAAGGACAATTTTTCTCCAGACTTTTTAGGATGTGTTCATGAGAATGTACGTAATGAGCAATGTGCTTGGATTTCCATATTCATTTGCACACTGAATCTCCACACTCACCAAGCCTGTGTAAAAATGCATCATTTTCCAGGGGAGAGAGTGTTGTTTCCCATACATTTGGAAAAAGGAGGAAGTATTTTAATGTGACCTTCATTACGCATTCGTGACAACTTTTCTTATTTATTTATGATTAAAAATGTTTCCACTCCTGTTGTTCAATTAGTGCTTGACCCCTTTAGCGGCGATGTAAATTAAATGACATTTCGGTGTCGTCCCATATTTAAAATACTGCGTTAGTTGCGGATCATAAATGATGATCTTCATTCTGCAGCTAATTTATTCATTTAACAATTTCCCTCCAGAAGTTACAGCAGAAGGCTCTGCAGCAACCTAAGCAGAAGAAATCCAAGTCGGCTGAATCTCTGATGGGTGAGCCCTGCTTGATGAGTTATTGCTCATAATTTGTGTAAGGATTAATTAACTAATTACAGACAAATGGCTTTGGGCTAAATTTTGCTCTTGCTTGTCAGGGCGCAATTTGTAATTATTTTAATCATTTCTTTTTCTTCTCCCCCCCCCCACCTCCCCCCTGCAAGATTCTGATTTAATTTTAACCTAATTGTGTTTTAGTGACATTCGAGGAGGATGCACATGAGTATTTTGGGGGAGAGGAATCACTAGAAGGAATGTTCTGCTGCCATTAAATGTACTTTGGTAAAATGCGCCGCTTCTGACCTTGCTGTTGTGGTGTTTTTTCTTCTCTTTTTGCAGGCGGAATGGAGGAGAGCGCTGTAGTGGAAGGCATTGAAAACCCTACCTTCGATGGCGGCTACAGCACAGCGCTTTCAGCTTCGCGGGCTTCAGCAGGGAGAGAAATTCGACGTGACAGGCAAGATAGCACCCTTGCAGCTCACCAACAAAAAATGGAGCTGCGAGCCCCTGCCAAATCAAGAGGTGAAGCTTCATTCTTCATTAGCCTCAAACTCGTTGACAGTGGATTTGTGGATTTGTTTCTGATCTAACCTTTTGGGTTTCTGAGGGCCTGGTCCTCACATTCCAAAGCTAGCGTGTCCTAACAAGAGCCCCTCATATAAATTCCACCTAACCGAAGAATGTCACAAGAGTGGGGGTTCCAGAACACCCTGACGGAATCAGCCTCTCGACTCCCACTCTAACAGTATTCTACCTTCTGGAGGGCTGGAGTCATCGGAGAGAGCATTTACTTAGCCTACCCCTACCAGCATATACACACTGTCTTTATAGTGTACGCCCCTGAAACAGAGCTGATGGCCCATCATGCAGAAAAATATGCCCCGTTGTAATTTACTATGTTCAGTGAGACTCTTGGAGCAATATGATGTTACACACGCTGTGATGCGTTCAAACATAAATAAATGAAAATGGTAGTTTGGTCTTGATAGGTCACACAAGTCAGGTATTTTGAATTAAGAGATGTTTTTATTTATTTAATTAATAATCTAGTAATTAATTGAAGCTTAATTTTAGTGGAGAGAAGCTTCCAACATTGGGCCATCATTCAAACACACACACACACTTTTTCTGGAGCTGTTGAGAATAACCCTTGGTTACTTTTGTCATGGTTGTGTCTGTTCCATGACAAAGTTAAGGGATCATTCTAAAAGATTTTCAAAAGATAATACTGCCAGTTGGAGTGAGACACAGAGAGAAAGAAACTGTTGGGGTTTAAATCACGAACACGGATGCATAGACACATCATAACACATGATCGTAAGCAGTGAGGTTCTCTTGGTATCTTTCTGAGTTCCCATGTACCCAATTTGTGTAACCCATGGTCACAGTAAACTCATTAGTCTATTTTATACTGAAGAAAAGTGGATTTTCCTTAGATCTGGTGTATTACAGTAGTTTTGATTAGTGGCATTTTATTGTGGGGAGCAAACCTCATTCAAGTCTAGTCCATTTTGCCCCCACCCAGTGCTGGGTAGAGTAGCACATTAGACGACAGTGGTGCTACTGAGCTGATCCATCTGATACAGTAGACATTGTGTCACCCATCGGCACGCCAGGCAGGGAGCAGGGAGCAGGGCTTTGATGAATCCCAGGGAAGTCTTCTCTCATCAGAGATTAAATCGATAGCATCTGCCCCCCACGTCTCTGAATTGTCAGGGAGATATCTTATGACTTGCACTTATTTAAAAAAAGAAAGAAAGAAAGAAAGAGGAGAAACTGTAATATTCTGAGACGAGGAGGCCGCCTGTGTGAAATCAATCATTCATGGGAAACTTTCTCATTGGATGTGGATGGTGTGTGTGCCGTTGTGTGTGCGTGTGTGCAAATGCCCCCGAGACTTTCAATGTGTGTCAAAGTTAACACTGAAAAAATACCTTATAGTTGAAGGAGCGCTAAATGAAAGAGTAGTGTCTCATCAGTTATGGATCAAGGCTTCTTTAGAAATGCTACATCTTATACGTAGGGCTAATAAAATATGTGTATTACTGAGATAAAACATTTACTTCTACAGAAGTGTATCGTGAGCAATGCTACAATTGTCATTGATTTTGTTTGATATTTATGTCACCCCCCCCCCCAGTAAATTTAACATTACATCTAGAATACTATCCTATGTATTAGATATAATTTAGAGGTCTGAATTTTCATTACAAATTGAAATAGAGCAGCCAAACATATGTGGTCTTATTTCTCCATCAGGCACTGCAGTTATTTTCATATTCAAAAAAGGCATATATTAAATCCCATTGCTAGTGCACTGACACGCATAGCAACAGTCTGTAGAGCCTGTACCTCTATATAATAGATGCAAGCGGCAGCTCTTTCATGTTTGTGACACTTCTATTTGGTTATCCTCAATATCTTTCATCAAAACTGCCTGTTAACAGTAGCGTTGGATGGAGAGAAGTAGTGTGGGTTATTGATAGCTTGCATGTAAGAACAGGGAATTGCTATTTTTATTAGAGGCGAAGAACTGGAGGACAGCCAGACTATTTAGGTAAATCAAAGATATGATTCAAAGACAAGATCTTTGAGAGCTGCCGCCATTATGTAAATTTAGATTGAAAAAAGGCTTTCATAACCTCGAAGCTATTGCGGCAAAATTGTTAAAACTGTGTTTACGACGTAAAGGGACTTACTTGTGAATTTTACAGTTAATTTATGGTGTCACTAAAATTCATAAGTGCAGCAATGAATATACAGGACTCCAGCCTAATAAGTGTCTCTATCTGACAATTTGTAACTGGCGTTCAACAGTGAGGAAGGTATGTAGAAAAGCTTGTACAATATTTGACATAAACACAAATAGAAGCCTACAGAATTCTTGGTGGGTGGGTAGTGGCAGAGTAGAGGTCCTATGCAAACACACTTACTCCACATTTGTATGCGTCCCAGCGTTGATCCTCTCCCTCTAATATAAATGTGATCCTTGTGTGAAAAACATTTTTTACGCACACCTCTTCATTTAGCCCGACCGAGTAATACAAGTAAAGCAATTTAGATTGGGGATATAGTCTGTGAAATATTCAAGCCAGGAGAATGATTTCAGGTTAAGAAAGCAACTCTGTGGGGTGTACCTGTTTTAATAGAAACACCCCTTGAGGTGCTGGATTCCCATAAATTCTAGCAGAGCAGCTTTGATGCCCATAGGTCAGCGATTGCTAATAAGAAGTCAATGGGACACGGGTTAAGTTATTTTCCTTCTCTGCCTTCTCTCGGCCCAAGCCGACCGGGTTCTCCCAACCGTCGACCCCAGAGCATTTAGAGGGGTATTGTCTTTGAAATTCCAGGTACTTTTCACTTGTACATTTTCTCATTAGTTCCTTTTGAACACAAGTAACATATGGCAATCGTATTTAAGAGATTGCCTGGCGTGACCTTTCGCGGCATGCTAATTAGGCCCCAGAGCTCCTCTGGGCCCCGGCGAGCCGCGCTCATGTGAACGGACTGACCGGCCAGGGCTTATCAGGTAGCAGACGCTGGCTCTCTGGCCAGCCTCAACAGTGTGGCTTTCAAAATTAACATTTCGCTTCATATGTTTCTAATAAACACTGACCTCCACCAACCTGCCCCTCCACCACTCCCAACTTCCTCCTCCTCTCTCACTCTCTCTCGCTCTTCTGGCGTAGTTTCCACAGGAAATGAGCGTGCCCGAAATTACTTTGACCCAGCGCTGGTGCAGGAAACCAACCCAAGGCGGTGCGGGATGGCGGAGGTCGGCACAGAAGATGAGCTGGAATTAAGTATGCCATTTCTCGTCATAATAGTTCTCCTCAGTTCATTAAAGTGAGGTGAGAAAGATCACTCATTGCCAGCCAGTTTCTGACGGCAGGGGCGGTACTATGTAAATACATTTACTACTGATGGTCCACAAGATGGCTCATACATAGGACAGTGTGTTAGTTTCAAGCTCGTTGTCATTGACGAAGGTCACGTATCATTGGTCAGTTTCATTTCGCTCCAGCTTTTCTTGCACTCCCATCAAATGACAGACACCAGACAGAGCCATATCAATAGTTGCACCCCCCCCCATGCCTATTAAAACCATGCTCTTGGGAGTCAAGTAATATGCATGTTATAATGAAACATGGCTATTAACAGAGGAGCCATTTCACCTGTATCTTTTGGATATCACTGCCTTGTAATATCAAAGGAGTCCTAAAGCCCAATCCCATCAAATGATGACAATCAACCTAAGAGGCATATTCCTGCTCCTTTTTCATTACCTTTGTAGAAATGTTATTCCCTACCTGACCATTCGCTATTACCCCATGAATGAGAATGATTTGCATGTCTGCATATATATTCTTGCCTTGACAATTTGAATGTAATTTCAAGCACACATATATGCATATTTTGTAACAGTATTCATATTGAACAAAAATATAAACGCAACATGCAACAATTTCAAAGATCTTACTGAGTTACATTTCATATAAGGAAATCAGTCAATTAAAATACATTCATTAAGCCCTAATCTATGGATTTCACATGACTGGGAATAAAGATATGCATATGTTGGTCATAGATACCTTTAAAAAAAGGTAGATGCGTGAACAGAAAACCAGTCAGTATCTGGTGTGACCACCATTTGCCTCATGCAGCGCAACACATCTCCTTTGCATAGAGTTGATCAGGCTTTTAATTGTGGCCTGTGGAATGTTGTCCCACTCCTCTTCAATTACTGTGCGAAGTTGCTGGATATTGGCTGGAACTGGAACACGCTGTCGTACATGTCGATCCAGAGCATCCCAAACATGCTCAATGGGTGACATGTCTGGTGAGTATGCAGGCCATGGAAAAACTGGGCCATTTTCAGCTTCCAGGAATTGTGTACAGATCCTTGCGACATGGGGCTGTTTATTATCATGCTGGAACATGAGGTGATGGCGGCAGATGAATGGCCTCAGGATCTCGTCACGGTATCTCTATGCATTCAAATTGGCATTGATAAAATGCAATTGTGTTCATTGTCTGTAGCTTATGCCTGCCCATACCATAACCCCACGGCCACCATGGAGCACTCTGTTCACAACATTGACATCAGCAACCGCTTGCTCACACGACGCCATACACGTGGTCTGTGGGGCGGCAGGTAGCTTAGTGGTTAAGAGCGTTGTGCCAGTAACCGAAAGGTCGCTGGTTCTAATCCCCGAGCTGACTAGGTGAAAAATCTGTTGATGTGCCCTTGAGCAAGGCACTTAACCCTAATTGCTCCTGTAAGTCGCTCTGGATAAGAGTGTCTGCTAAATGACTAAAATGTAAAATGGTTGTGAGGCCAGTTGGACATACTGCCAAATTCTCTAAAACAACGTTGGAGGCGGCTTATGGTAGAGAAATTAACAGTAAATTATCTGGCAACAGCACTGGTGGACATTCCTGCAGTCAGTATGCCAATTGCACGCTCCCTCAAAACTTGGAGACATCTGTGGCATTGTCTTGTGTGACAAAACTGCACAAGGTGCACCTGTGTAATGATCATGCTGTTTAATCAGCTTCTTGATATGCCACACCTGTCAGGTGGATGGATTATCTTGGCAAAGAAGAAATGCTCACTAACAGGGATGTAAACAAATTTGTGCACAAAACTTGAGAGAAATAAGCTATTTGTGCATATGGAAACTTCTGAGATCTTTTATTTCAGCTCATGAAACATGGGACCAACACTTTACATGTTGCGTTTATATTTTTGTTCAGTATAGTTAAATTTGAAAAAGAAGCGAGCAATTCTGAGTTGAAGTAATACAGTTATCAGGAGATTATGTGACATTTTATGTGACATTATTTGTTTGATTTGTAGAAATAATGAACCAAGATGAAAAGGGCCTATATCAGAAAATGGCTGAAATGATGGACGCAGACGACGACACAACCATCATAGACTTACCAGGTATTTTCGCAACACTCCAGAGCCTAAAAACACATATAAAACAGTTTTTAAAAATTCCAAAATGATCAAACCGCAACTATGGAGTCAATATGCAGGCAACTGCTCAATCGAAACATGCTGTTCATTTTCGGACGGAACAAAGAAGAACACTTTAAAGGGACACAAAGTAGAAGGACTTGTTCCAAGCTTTCCAGGCACAGGCCTATTGTGGTGCAGTAGGCGTGCCTTTTTCCATTAACAGAAGGCTCATTTGAATATGTACCCAAACGGGGAAACTGAGGTTGGTTTAAGCTGGCATTGTTCTGGGGGGGAGACAAGACAGTCGCACCGGATCCTGTTGACATGACGCATCTCTGTTGTAATTCCAGTGCAGAAGGGATGGGCTTAGACCTGCTCGAACATGGTAGAATTTTGCCTGCTTGTATTATTCGGCATTGTTATGGATTTAGCTGTAGCAGTGAGATTAGCAGCCCCTTCCATTGTCACAGAATGTACATGAAATCCGGTAAAAAAAAGTAAAGAGGTTCTTGGATTAACAGTTTTATGCAATAGGCACAGGCAGAGCCCTTCTCTCTCCTGCACTGCGAGCGCCCAACAGCATCGACTGCCAGAGAGCTCTCCGGTGAACCACAATAGACTTCAAGACAATCACCTTATGCTTTTCTATGGATGCCTCCCACCGGTATAGGCCGCAGCCTGACTAGGCAGGCTCTCTCTCTCCTCCTGATCCTGATGCATTGTGACTGGAGCAGGGTTTTCTCTTCCTCTTACAGTTGTGCACAAAGCACACGCACAACAAAACGAGGGGGAAGAAACAGAACATTAATGAAATGGACACAGTCCAGTGAAAGTCATTTCAGGAGGGATTCCTGGATAAATCCCCCGCAGGGAGGTTGTCATCTCATCTGTTTACCTCTTGAAATATTTCATCTCTTTGGTTGAGAAAGAAGAAAATAATCACTTTAGGCATTGATTGGCTTCATCTGATTCACACATTGGACTGCACACGTTGACTGTACCTACAAGAGGTAATAACAATACCTCATAATCACTATTAACAAGGCAATGCAGTAGCGTAGAAGATACATTTGAATGTTGAATCCATCCTCTATTTCTAACTGAAACCTAGCTAGCTTTGTTAAAGGTATAGTTCTACTCTTGTTACTTCCCAACTACGAGCAGAGCACAGAAGCCAGCAATGTCAGCCCAGCTGGATATTTCTCTCTGTGCTGCAACACAATAAACTCCCTCAGAATTTTGAGACCAAACTTAGAAACATCAGTACATGGTGGGTATAGTGGCAGTTTCTATATTGGAGCTGTCACAGTGTTGAGTCTGTTTGTCGACCTCAGACTTTTTATGGAGAAAGTGCTGCATCAGTGGCCTCTTGAAAAGCTAGCTTGGCTAATCCACCGGCAACAATTCATTGATGTACTGTAGGGGACTTGCTGTAGCACTGGTGGTGATTTAGTGATGGACATTAGTTAAGGCTTCGACTTATCCAGTTCCACACTGGATGCATACTATTACAACATGTCATTGACATGGACGTAGATGGTCAGTGGCGTATAAGATGTGAGTTTGTCCAGTTTTTTTGCCAGTGCTTATAAGAAATAATGTTTCAGACAAGTGCATTTTTCAGATGGCCTTCAGTACTCTGCATGTGAAATCTTAACTGTCTACTACTTGTGCATACAGTATGTGTGTGCGTGCATGCATATTTGTGTGTACATCCATCTGTGTGTGTGTATGTGTGTGTGTTAACTCCACACACTCCCCTGTGTGTCCAGGTATGGTGCTAGCCCACAGGGAGGAGGCAGAGGTGTGGAAGGTGAGGGCTGGTGATCCAGCGCTGGGTACCGGTGCTGCAGGCCGTGGGCACTTCATGGCGGCGGTGGAGGAAGGGGAAGAAGAGGTGATCCCCCGCTACGCCCAGCAGCTGAGGGAGCGCGTGCTGCCTGACATGATCACGCTTGGCAGCCTTTCACTGGAACAGGTCAGAGCCACAAAGAGGAATATCTATGTCATCTCCCATATTCACCAGCACATGAGCCATGTCCATTACATACTCCGGCTAATGGACAACACTGGGTGCTTCGCTTCCCGCCCACCTGCCCCTCACTGAGATTTCTCTCTGTGTTGTGTTTCATATTTTTTTGTTTTTTAGTGGCCCTTTTAAAAGTTGCCCGTTTGGTTCCTAATGTAGTTGATGTAACTTTCAGATGCACTGAACTGAAATCTTTTTTTATGTAACTTTAATTAATTGTAAGGTTCAATTCATCTCGATCCCAGATTTGCCAAATTGATCGCATCATACATTGTGTGTGAAAATAGGATATTGTCCAAACTATTAATTTGTTAGCGTTTGTTGTTTTTGTGATTATTCATCATTATGCATTTGTCATTGAAGCCTGGATTTCCATCTTGGTTTGTCAACCATCTCTTTTCAGGAAAAATAGAGCGTGACAATTTTTTCTCCCCACCACTTGTTTTGGGAGAAGGGGATTTTGTGAAATAGCGTGAAGATCTGAAGAAGCTTATGAAATGAGTGTTGATACTCCATCAGTCATAAAATGGGGTGAAAACGGGAACATGGGGTTTTCATTGTTCAGCGCTATTGAGGTAGCCAAACCCAAACATGAACGCATATCTAAACAGAAAAGAGAAAACTATCCAGTATATTTATAGCTGTAATCTGATTTAAAAAGGAAGAAGAATTAAGGAGTTGCAAATTAACACCAAGAATATGGAAGGAAGTGAGAAATGGATGGATCTTGTGATGTTAAGACTTGAGTCATCGTTTCATGTTTTGATAATCAGTTCCATCTACAGTAATACTGTGTACGAGCAGAGATCAGTGTTTTATGCTATCATAATGTGTATTCACTCCCCAACTGTTT